AGGTGCCCAGAGCACCCCCAGGCCCAGCTGCCCTACATGGCGGGCAGCCCCCGCACTCAGAGGTCGCCCTCCGAGACCAGCGGCTCCCTCCAGGACACGTGGAAGCTGTTGGAGCTAGGGTCCAGCCCTTCAGGCCCCAACTCCCAGGATGACTCAACTCCAGGTAGGAGGACCTGGCTCCCACTGGAGGAAGCACCTGTGCAAGCACCCAGTGTTCTTGCCAGTGAAACAGACCTGTCCGTCCATCAGGTAAATGCCGGCACGGCAGCCTCACGGGATGGAGGGGCCCTGCCCCGTGGGGTCTCCAAGGCAGCCTTTAGGGGAGCAGACACAGCAGCTGCCTGGCTGCCACCACTGGCCCTTGGCATAGCGGCTGCTTTAGTGGTTGATGGACGCCTAAGTCCACACGGCCACATGCGGGGGCTTCGAAGGGTTCGTAAGATCCACAAAGCAAACTCCTGCCCTTGAGTCCAGTCGATGCCCACTCTCAGAACTGCCCCAGGGGTTCCACATGGTCACTGTGAACACGAGTAGAAAGCCCCGTCTTTCTCCCGCAAAGCCTCATAGAAATGGGAATTTAAAGTTGATAAGCATTTTCCATGAAGCCTTTGAAGCTGCCTCCTACAGACTGTGCGCAGGCAGATAGCCTGTCAGGGAAGCCAGCCCCTGACACATCACAGGTCCGGCAGGCACCACTGTACGACTGTAATACAGAAAGATGATAGGAAAATCCTAGAGGATAGGACAGAGAGTCAAATAAAGGAGTCAGACACACTTCACGGTACCATGCTCACCTCAGCCTCTCTGGATGGTCCACATGGAGGTGCAGGAGGAGGAGAGGGCAAGAGAGAGAGCAACTTATTTCTAACCAAGGCTTATGTGTCTTTGTGGGGTGTGCGTGCCAGCCCCTGATGACTGGTAATGACCTACGTCACAGGAATGGGTTGCACCATAGGGACTACAGCAATGGGAGGGGGCGACCTAGGGGGGCACGTGCAATAGGAAGAAGGGATTAAGGGTACACATGTGACAAGAAGGGTGGCTCCTAGCTTCATTATGGCAGCCTAACTTTGACTGTCCTTGAGCTGGAGACTGATTTACTCTAAGCTTTCCAGAGACAGAAATTCACTGTCCTTCACAGCAGGAGTGAGCCCCACCTCGGGGACCAGACAGTGGTCTGATAGCTCTGGATGCTGATGCTTTCAGGCAGATAACTTGACAATCCTTTACCATTGGTTACAAGCAGTGTCCTGGGTCTGATGTATATGTGGGGGATACAAACTGGGGAAACACCTTTTTATATCCCACAATTCCCCCTTTTGTTTTATATATTAAATTCAAAAGAGCTATAGGGGCAACATGGTTATTTTCTATATGTTGAAAGCTGTCAAGGCGAATTTAATTACAAACTTAAAGTCAATATTAATGTAACCAAGCCAGAAACTCAGGCTTATGGCGAACATTTTGAATCCAGGCTTGGGGGATAAAGCCCCCCTATGCCCAACTACTCGTATTGGGGAAGGTATGAGAAGGGTGGGGTGCCGTGGCGGGGAGAGGTAGAGCACACGGGAATGTGTGCTTCTACAGGGAGACAGAATCAGCCATGTGCTCATTTTAAGGCAGCACAGCTTTAAGGGGAGAGTCTGTGGAAATGAAAGATTCACGCAGGAAAATGTACTTGGACGGTATCTCTAACATTCCAAAGTGGCGGCTGTCCTTCCATGGAACACTAGCTTTCCAGAGTCCCCCGTACTGGTCAGGGGGTAAGTCCCCGTCTTGTTTCCCTCAGAGTTCGTTTCCCACAGCACCCTGCTTTTTCATCGTCTGGTGGCGCCGCCCGACACGGCGTGGCTTCCGAATGGCGGCCCCTGCTCCGGGCCGGCCTGTCGGCACCACCTTCCCAGTGGCTCCTCCTCACGCCCTTCTCTGCGCCAGGTTGGTCAGTCTCACCCTCTCGAGAGTGCGTGCTTTTTCATAGTGCTGTTGCCCACGACAAACAGCTGGCCCTGGCCCTCGGTGACTGCGCTGCTCTTCTCTGAAATCTCAATGGTGGATTCGGTGAAGGTCACAAAGCAGGTCGCCAGCTGGACACTCAACAATTCCCACAGGTTTTGTTGCAACTCACCCACTGCACTCCCCCACCGCTGCCTCCCTTCCTCTCCTGTTTCCATCCCTAACGCTGCCCGTCTCTCCAGACCCTCAGAACTTTGTCTTTGGGTAAAGGCTGCCCTTTGATCTTAAGAGGTTGATGATTCTAACACTGGGTGACTTCACTTCCACACCCGAAGGGTGACTCAGGGAGTCCTTAGTCCTAGGGGGTCCCACCTGAGTCTCTGTCTAACCAGTAGCCTGGTCTCTGTCATGATTCTGAGTTTAGTTCCAGATGTCCCTCCCATGCAATCCAGGACCTGCTCAGAGCAGTGGGTGTGGTGGCCGGGTGCCACCGAGTGCGTCTGGTCTCAGGTTGTGGACGTGGATGGTTATGTGGTCCGTGTGTTCATTAGACTACCTGTTTCTATAGATCTTGGATTTTCATGATGGCTCTTTGCTCTGGATGGGGAGGGCAGGAGGGGCTGCTGCCTACAAGCTATGAGGCCCTAGTCACTGCTCCATACAGCAGGGTGTCGAGCACTGTCTTTGTGAACTGCTGGGGTGGGGTGGGGGCGTCAGACAACTGACCTTGTAATTAGTGGCGCAACACCTAACCTACTGCACAGCCCGAGTTCCTTCATTCACACTTTAGGGAAGCACTCCGTAATTCATGGTGTGTGCGTGCGCACGCGCGGGGGCGTTTCCCCCTTGTTTTTAATTGCTTTTTTTCCCCTCTTTATTTCCAAGTTTACAGAACTTAAAAAATTCTTTCAATTACTCATCTCTAATATGTTCACAGCTCTGTAGGAAAAGCTGCCCTGGTGTCTGTCCTTCTGCGAGGCGTGTGCTCTGTTCCCACCTGTGGTGACTGCCCTCTGTCCCCAAGCGGCTCCCATGGGTCAGCACGTGGCTGGGTAGCACCTCCTCCGCTGTCCGCCAACATCAAGTGCCTCGCTGGTCCTGGGGGCCCTGGCGCCACCTTCCTTCCCGTGAGCCACATGCTGCACCACGCAGCCTGTTCTGGTTTGTACCTAGAGCCTCCCCTGGCCCTCAGCTCTGCTGGTGCATGTGGGTCACCGGACGCCGCCGTCTCCTGCGGCAGGGCGCATGAGGGCGTGTGCTCTCCATGGGCTCTGCTTGCCTGTGGAGACGCGTGTGCCCCATCACCAGTGCCCGCACAGCGCTGTGCCCTGCGTGTGGCCCTGAGTTTCCGGGGGCCTGCTTCCCTGGTGCTGTTCTCCTCCGGGCCTCGTCCTCGACAAGCGAGGCCGCGTTTCCGGTGTTCCTCTGCGACGTGTGCAAGTCTGTCTCTAGTTGCAGCCGCGTCCGTCCGTCCGTGTCGGTTTCTGAAACAGACAAGGGGGGTTCCCCAGCGCAGCCTCACATCTCACTGGCACTGGTGGGAGTTTTAGGAATGCGTGTAAGGGGCCGGGTACATTTTACCAAGTTGGGTTACCCTTCACCCCAGGGAGGCTCTAGAGCAGCGGTTCTCCGCCTGTGGGTCTCGGAACGACCCTTTCACCGGGTCACCCATTTGTAAAAGCAAAATTACAGGTGTGAAGTAGCAACGACAATAATTTTATGGTTGGGGGGGTATCACCACAACATGAGGGGCTGTATTAAAGGGTCGCGGCGTTAGGAAGGTTGAGAACCACTGTTCTAGAAAGTTCGTGTGGGAGCGGAATGACCCGATGACGGAATTTCCTGCAGCCCTTCAGTACGAGAGGGTTTTATTTCTGCCTCACATTTAAATAGGCCTTAGCTAGAAAGCTCCAGGCTTCCATTTGCAGTGCTCACAAAACAAACACTCACGCCACCGAGGAGACGCCATGTCACGGCGACCCTGCGGGACGGGGTACAACTGCCCCGTGAGTCTCCAAGGCTGTGGCTTCCAGCTGCTGGCCTTGCGGTTGCAACATTCCGAGTGTGACCGCTCCCCCCCAGGGCTCTGCCACACCGGCTTACACGCCCGGACGGATGTCTCCCGTGCAGTCAGCGGTCAGTGCTGGCCAGGGCTCGGAGCCACCTTTGCAAAGCACGGAAAGAGCAGAGCAGCCGAGAACCACCGGCGAGAACTCGGGCAAGAAAGAAAAGGCCGCTGGAGCTCCGCAGACGCTGTCCCAGCGGAGTGTGAGCGGGGGCAGTGATTGGGGGCAGGCATTGTCCCCAGACTCTTAGATGGCTTAGGACCTGCATGACAAGGGTCTGAGTGTCTCGCACCCTCCTCGGGAGGAGAGAAGGTGGCGGGCAGCATTTGAAGGGACTGGGCATGAGGGTGTCCCAGAAGCGTTAACAAAACGTAATTCTAGGAAGCCAAACAAACCCCACTATTGACTACTTAAGAGGAAGCAGCAGGCCTGGATACATTGTACGAAACTGAGCAGCACCCAGGGGGCTGGAGCTGCCTTGCAGGCAGCCGGAGAGCAGACAGCTGATCCCCGGGGCTGGAAGACCCACACGCACGACGACGGAAGCCGGAGACCCTGAGCTGGCACCTGAGGCCCTGCACGCTGCCGTCTGCTGAGGGAACCCTGCCGCCCCTGGGGAGCCCGCCAGGCAATGAAAAGGACTGTGCCACCAGCTTGCCCTCTCCAAAGATGTCCCGGAGCTACTGCTGTTGTCTGGTGCCCTCGGGTCAGGTCACTGCCCGGTCCTGCGCCAACCTCTCCGTCTGAGCTCCTTGAGGCAGCCAGGGGGTCCACACATTTCAGTGGAGGGCCCTCTTCTTCCCACGGACCCTCTGCTTTCCAAGCACGGTGTCCTCCTCCAGGGGCGGGTCTCTACAGACAACGTGGCCAAAGAACGTGGGACCCAGAACTTAGACACTGAAAATAAAATGAAGTGCTTTTTAAAAACAGGCTGTTCCAAAGTTGGGGTCAGATAGGAATCGTGTCAGGTTCTTGGGGCTATTGCCGCTCCGCACACACCGCACTCCTGTGCTAGCGTGCACCGAGGCAGCCACAGACACGGTGTGGGCTCCGGCGTGCCCGTGGCACGCTGCTACAGAAACAGGCCACTGTGCTGGTTGTTGGACTAACAGGGGCCGGTTTTCTTTTTCTTCGAGTCATGCGG